AGAGAAAGAAATGGAAGCTGAAAAGTAATGAGTAATGAGTGGCTAAGGGGCTGATCAATCCAAAAGAGAATAGTTAAAGGGTCTAAGAGAGCTAAAATGCATAAAAATGTCTATGACCTAAACATTGGAGCTAGAAGCTCTTTCTTCTGATTAACTCTACTTTCTTATCCCTAGCTCAGAAATCAAGGCTTAACAATTAACTCTCAAGAGCAAGCCAATATGATTAGAAAAATAATACAAAAATATTTAAACTGTTCAAAAGAGAAATGCAATGTCCTATGTGTCAAAGGAAACAATGTTCCTGTTTGATTCCCCATCCATACAATGATCATTGTAGCCATCTAGACCCCTAAGAGAATTATTACTCCTAGACAGCCAAGATTTTTGGAGCTGCACTTCCAGCACTGCATCCAATACCCACATGTAACTATTTAAATTTCAATTTAATTACATTTATATAAAACAAAAAATATTCAGCTCCTCAGTTGCAGTAGCCACACTTCAGTGCTCAACAGACACATGTGGCTAGAGGTTACTGTGTTGGACAATAAACATAGAGATTATTTCATCATCACAGAAAGTTCTATTGGACAGCACTGGGCTAGACACCAGGAGGTCAAGACTTTGAGTTTAGACCAAATCATTCAAACCATTTTTAATGATAATTTTTCCACAATGTAATTAATATTTGTATCTACAGAGAATATAAATTAGGATTGAACATCATACTTTTGACTTTGGACAATGGTTCTTGAAAGTCAGTTGTACAGAAGAATCATCTGTGGAGTTTGCTAAATGCAGATAACTCATAGAGTGATTCAGTAGGTCTGGAATGAGGATCCAGGAATCTGCATACTAAACATGTGCCCTAGGTAATGCTGACAAGGGTAGGTCCTAAACCACATTTTGAGAAACACTGTGATTATAAATCAAAAACTTCCAGTGATCAGTTTACACATTCTGATTCATTTTCTTGTACGGGTAAGTATTAATATGTGTACATAGGCAAGCCCTTGTCTCCTTACAAAAGTGCAAACTGTTCCACAAAGGCAAAGGAAGGAGATTTCAAGGTATAGTAGATCTGAGTAAGGATGAATACAGAGAGAAAAGTCAAGAAGACAGATGCACTAGAAACAAATCTTTTGAATAGAAATATTCCAGAATATCTACACAGGGCGGAAGCTGTATAGCCATTCAGCTTCTGGAACTCGAAGGCTCTGGGAACAGCTTTGAATCTTGAGCTAGCAGGAAAGGAGAAAAACTCTTTGGTAGTGTAGTTTCTGAAGATCTGAATATTGCACGTAAATGCTAAGTATGTACAAGATGCTAGCCTATGTGCTAAGAGATTAGTAAAATAAGGTTTTTAACTTCAAGGAGCTCAATCTAGTACAGGAAGAGAAACCAAAAATAAGTATAATATAGTAGCAGGTGTCATTTCAGCTGAACCTTAAATGGTGAGTTGCTCTGGAGTTATTGGAGAGGTAGAAGAATGACAATTAAAATACAGAGAACAACATGAAGAAAAGCACAAGAGCTTGAAAATTTGGAGCATACCTGGTGACCTACAAGTGGGCTAGAGTGGCTAGTGAATAGGGTTTAGAGAAGTTTGTGTAGTGGGAGATAGGGGTACAGATGCATTCTGGGTACCTGGAACAAGACCATGGATGGCACTGAATGCCTGTTTGGGAAAAAAGTATCCTTTAGAAGGCGTTTGAGGAGATAGTGATATGAGATCTGCATTTAGGAAGAACACTAACAGCTAGGCATAAAATGGAGTGGGGAGAGAGTAGATACTGGGAAGATGTGCTATGATTTGGCCATCTGGCTGCATGGAAGAAAAACTGCAGTCTGGCTGCAGAGAGAGAGAAGCAACAGAATATGAAAGAGATTTTTTTAAGCTGAAAATCTGAAAAAAGAGCATGAGTAGTGGCAGTGTTTAGAAGCTGTTGGGAATGCAATGATCCATCATGACTCTGGCAATAAAAAGTACCAGCAATGAGGGTCAGAAAGAAAGTAGAATTCTCAGCAGTCTGGTGAGCAGACAGCTCTACACCATCTATGTCTTCTGAAGATATGGACAATGGGGTATCTTCTATGGGTGGCACACAAGTGGGCAAACAGCTTCTTCAGTGAAGTGCCCTCAAAGACATACAACATACTGCATAGTAATTAAGGGCTTACGCCCTGGAGACAGGCTTCCTGGAATAGAATCTTGATTCTGCTACTTAGTAATTGTGTGATCTGTAGGCAGGTTACTTATTGATAAATTCTGTCCTGTTTTTTCTACCCTTAAAATGAAAATAATATCACCTACCTCACAGGAATGCTGTGAAGGTTGATGAGTTCATACATAAAAGGTATTTGTAACATGGCCTAGCACATAGTAAGCACTCAATAAATGTTAGCTATTATTATCATGTGTATGTATGAGTGAAAGACACACACTTAATTGTGCTAAGTTCAATGTTCAATAACCCTTGAAGGTACAAGTGCTATATCTAAGGAATGGTGATCAGTATAGTTTAGCAGCCCAAGGGACATCTGCAGTACACTGTCCTGCATAGGCAGCATGCCTTAATATTACTCAAAATGAGTATCTTAAGTCCATTTTGAAAAAAGACAGATATGAGTAAGTTTTCCAGCTTGTAAATATTCTTAGTGATTCCCCTTAAGTAAGCTAGTGCAAGTCGGCTCCAACATACCACTCGCTGGTGTAAACTAACCCTTATACTCACATCCATAAGACCTGAATTTCACTTCCCTAAAACACACTCAAAGGTATACTGAACGGAAAAACAGCCGGAACCTAGAAATCTACTCCTTTTCTAATTTCTCTTGGCCTCAAACAGCAGGGGGAAAAATGATTATTTTGCAGATGAAAGACTTTCTTTCACCAATCAAAAAATATCAATTCCTTTAAAAACCATAATAAGCTCTTTTTCGTTTATATTTAAAGTGCTCGCTTCCAGAAAGAGGAATGGAGTGAGGGGTGTTAGCCAGAGCTTCTGACTGCACAAGAAATTTGCCACCTGAAACCAAGTTTAACATGGAGCTTCCAATCACATGCCTAGTTTTCCCTCTAACCCTGACCCATTCCCTCAAGTTCCCTCCTGCATTTTTTTAAGTGTCGAATTCCATTTAAGTTAAATAATGATAAAAGAGCTTTATATCATCCTCCTTTCCTTTTTGCTAGGAGGGGAAAAATATAAGAATAGCTTTACTTTAAAATATGTTAAAATACAAAGATATCTTAAATAAGGATAAATTCTAAGTTACATGGTATCTGAGACAATATTTCTATTACCATCTTTCTAAAAGTCTCATAAACAGGTCATAACAATACTTGCCCTATGTCCGACTCATGTTCTTGATAGCATTCTCAAATATTCATTGTCAAATGCTAAAGAAGAGTTGTCTATGGTGTGAGCATCCAGTCATTTCCCCAGTAAATGGCATAGTCTCTAATAAATTCAGATCTAAGAGTGACTGCTTCAAGAATGTTTCCTGAAGAGGTTTTAAAGAATGTTTTACCAGAGAACTAGCATGAGCTACTCAAGCACCTGGGTTCATCTTTCTCCTTTAAAGGAATGAATTTAAAATTGAGAAAACATTTGAGAATTTTAAAAGATGAGAAAGTTCATCTATTTTAGATAGATAGATAGAAACAGAAAAGTGTGAAACTGAGTTAGCTGTATATTTTTTCTGTTGATCTGGATAAAATACTCAAATTTTAAAACATAGCCCTTCATATTTGGCTAGTATATTTTAAAGTATACACATAACTTTTACCAAAACCATCGTATATGTTGAGCAGAATATTAAAAACGAACTAGCTTGTTTTAGAAGGAAAATATTCCACACTAACCTTTTCAATCGGACATTTTACTTCCCAATAACTTTACAAGGCTCTACCTTCATTCATATTGATGTATAAATTAATCAAAACACTAATGTTTCTCCACATAATCTATAAACTTAATCTGGAAAGCACTCACATATTAAAATAAATGTTATGTTAAAAATAGCTCAGAAAAAATCTCTACAGTTCTATCAACACATTTTTTTTTTTTTTTTAGTAAATGACTGAACTTAGTCTTCTTGACTAGTAGCTTAAGTCAAATTTACCCTGGATCCATCAACTGAGAGGCAGCCTGGTATAAGGGTGAGAAAAAGCACAGATTCTTGAATCATATCAATTAACCTATGAGTTTGGGCTCTGCCTCTTGTTAGATACAAGACCTCAGGCCAGTTACTCATTCTCTAAGTCTCAGTTTTCTTACCTCTGAAATGGAGATCATAATGCCACTGATTTCACACAGGGTGGTTATGAGAAAAAATTGATCAAGTATATGTTAAACCATTGTGTAAATGTTTTACATCATATCCACTATGAGTCAATTACCAACAACTATACTGTAATTTTAAGTTGTTTTTTAATAGAGTAAAACCATGACGGAATTAAGCATATATTTACTATTAGGATACAAATACAAGTCAGTCATAAAAGCCACCTAGTTAGCTTTGACATTATTCATTAGGTCACCCTGGAATTGAGAGATGGCAAGGAGATAATGTCACTATTTTTTTTAACATAAACACTTTTATTAGCATAGAGAAGTTCTTTCCAGATATAGTAATTCCAGTTGCATAACATTTTCCGCATTTTTCACTGCCAGAAATTTAAACCAGTAACACAGGCCCATGAGAAACCTCTACTTATTGAATAAAGCAATATTTTCCATGAAAGTATATCTATTTAGTTTTACAGTGGAGAAAACGAGATATTCTCTGGTTTTAATCCAAAGAGAAAAACCTCAACAACTTTGCATATTAAAAATGTACAGAGATGGCTCTTCTGGAGTCAAGCATGAATTAGAGTATAGAGAAAACATCCAACAAGCACAACTCTCCAACACTTAGTGAAACAAACCAACCGCTACCCAAAGAAGAAACTGAAGCTATAAATTCAAATAAATGGGCTGCAGGGAGACTACACAAACCTGCTGTTGCTTTAATTGCAGACAATTCAATTCAGCAGCTGTTGGTCCAGGCACTAAGGTTCACTGTATGCTCTTCAGCGTAACCTTGAAATATTCTCACTCACTCACTTCTCCACATCATCTGCATGCTGTCCAATTAATGAGGAGCGAAATCAACTGTCAAACCACGTATCAAAACAGAACATGATCTTTTAGCTCTTAAGCACAGGAGCACAATATTTTAAGGACAATAAAACAAGAATGGAGGTGTAAGTCCTTGACAATAAATGATATTCAAACTTATCAAAACATGTGGTTGTAGAAACTAAGCTTCTGTTCTGTTCAGCAAGAAAGTGAAACTTTTTTAAGGTTTTTTTTATTTGGAAGGATCCTTTCTATCAAACTGCTGTATAAGAAGCCTTTCAAACAACATTCACCAATACCTGATCAGTCTCCAAGTTCTTCATTATTATGGACCAATATTGTTTCTGAAAGCTTAAGAGAATACTTAAGGAACACTTCTGGTCCAACGATATTTTACAATACAGACGGTTTGGAGCTGGCATGTTTAGCCTTGCTGTTTTCAGCACTTTTTTTCTACCCGGAGAACAAACAACAACAATAATATGTAATGTTCATCAATATGAGTTAAATAATGAAATAAAAATAAATTTACCAAACAAATGTGTTCTGGAATGCTTCCTATTTGAAATTCACTTACTCTTAACTGTATATCTCAAATCTAGACAACCAATTAACAAACACAGGAGTTAATAAACTCAAGAGGAACACAACATACTAAGTGTTTTAAAAATTGCTTTTTTCCTTCCAAAGCACTGTCTTCTGTGCGAACACTCTAGGCTATATCACATACTACCAGTTGCAGACATAAGACTTGAGAAATTCAAAACAAGAATACAGCAGAGAAGCATGCACAATTAAGGGATCGGGACTACCAATTTAACAGAGAACCCAGATTTTACATAGCAATCTGCCACAAACATTATAGCTAGGGGCAGGCATATTTTATGCAGCTATTTTGTTTAGCTCATTAGAACCTTATTTGTCCTTCAGTACAGTTGAACTGGAGGCAAAATAAGAGAGGAATGCACTTTGAAACAAAAGGAAAATTTCAGATAAAATAAAACATACTATACCTGAATATTGTACTAGGAACATCGTGACACTCTTCAGGGAACTGTTTCACGTTGTATCCTACCGTGAGTTATTCTCCCCTAACCTCTTCTCTCCACAAAAAGAAAAGCCAAAGCACCCCAAACCCCCACTACACACTACCCCTAACCCACCCCCGCACTGAGGAAAAAAAACCCAAAAAACAGATACAATTCAGCTCAGCTCCGATGATGCTTCTGTTTAGCTCAGCTCCAGCCGACAACTGAGCTCTAGCAACGGAGCATAGGGAGGTGGATTCTGATGCCAGGAGCACTTCCATCCACTTCACTTACACAAAAGCAGGCAGTGGAAAATCCAGGAGCCTTGAAGACAAGGGCTGGAACTGGCTTTTATGAATTGCTATTACTGCATGTGTCACCATCCATCTCCAATGACGGACACTTACAGGCTGAATTGGGAGTGGAGGGGGTGGGGTGGAGGAGGTTGGAGAGCAGGTGGAGAAGCAATTAGCAGTATGTTCATCGGAGAATTCGTTTGGGATTTCATACATCAGTGCCTAAAGAAACAACATGCAGTTGACAAATCAGAACTTTACGATTTGCATGCCTTAGAAGAAATCTTAGCTCACAGCCCCGAACAAAATAATGCTTGCCCACTCGTATAGTGCATGGAAAGTCACCCCTTTGCTTTCTTTTTCCTCCAGCTACCCTTGTTCCTGAGAAATCAACATTCAGAATGAATATTTGCTAATTTTCCCTAAAGAATTGTATTTAAAAGTCTGGAAGCAAAGGAAGTATAAAGAAATTAAATTATATTGAACATGACATCTCTTAACAAAAAGGCAAGAAGCTAATTATTTTAAGCCAACTTTTCATCCCTAGTCCCATTCCCCAGGTGCAGCTTTCATACCTATAATCAATGGATCACACAACTTTTGTGCATATATTTAACACTGAAAAACAATCTATGTATACCTAAAAATAGTTCCATTAAAGTCAAGGTGAGAAGCTAGGTGACCTTTAAGAAGGCACTTTACCTGTAAGTGCTTTAGTTTTACTCATCTGCTAAACTGAAGCACACTTTTTTAGACTTCAAAATGAATCATGAGTAGGAACAAAAAGGAGATAGTCTCTTAGGAAGGAAACATGACACAATTGGAGGAGTACTGGGGCTGGGTATCAGGAAACCTGAGTTCAGGTTCCAGTTCTACAACTTTCTATCTGTGTTACCCTGGACAAGTCACTTAACTTCTTGGAGCATAAGTTCCCTTATTTTATAAATTGTACATAATTGTACCCATTCTGACTGCGTCATAGGGTTGCTGTGAAGAGCTAATGAGATAATAGATATAAAAACACTTTGGTAAATTGTAAAGAGCAATAAAATTGTATGGGATTATTATTATTATACCCTGAGACAAATCTTGCCTAAATGACTGAAATGAGGCACCTGTATCATATAAGAAAAATAAGAAAGGACCAATATAATTTCATGAAACATTATCCAATTCTTCCAATTTTAAAATTAGAAGGAAGTACTGTTTCCTCTTAAAATTCCACAGGAGGAAAATCTTTTGAAAAGAAAAAAAATTAAATCTGATATACAATACATCAAAAGTTTATTAAAGAGACAAAAGTCCTGTAACTCCTTCTTTCCTTTCCAAAAAGTCAGTCAATTTTTCTGTAAGGTCTAGTATTATGTCCCATCTGGAATGCAAGCTACTAGACAATGAGCATCTCCTTTTGTTAAATCTTTCTATTAACCTGGTACATCCTCACTGCCCAGTGTGTAGAAAAAGTTTCAGGTTGATTATCTAAATCTAAATCCACAAGGTAAAAATCCAAAGTCATGCTTTATGAGGCTCCAAGCTGCCTTGATACTATATATACAGTGCCCAGCTGGTTTCAGCTGGGACACAGTTTTAGCACATGAAGTCCTGGGGTGGCCACACCTGGGGCACTAAATGATCCAGACAATGTTTGGGGACCTTTGGTTCAGCCAAATCCCACATGTCCTGATTTTCATCTGTATGGTGGTTTCCCAAGTATGTGTCTGTCCACATGGGCCAAATCTGAAGCAGCCAAAAGAAAGGTGGGAGCTGTAGCATAAATATCAGATATCAGCTCCCCTTGGCCCCCTCCAATGCCATCCGTGTCCTCAAACAAGTGCCCAGACCACTTCCTGTGAGAAGAAAGAAAACTTTTTTTCTAATTGTCCCCTTGAATGTCATTGCCAATACTGAAATTTCCAGTAAAATATGTATCCAAAATCTATATTAAATCAATGGGTAAAATGGATAATATGAATCACAAAGAGTTAGGTGAGGTAGCTAATAGCAAGTAAGCCATTAAAGGGGGAAGAGGAGGAAAGGGTGGGGAAAGGAGTAGAGGAGAAGAGAGGGGAGGGAAGGAGAGTGAAAGAATCTGAAGTGAGAGCTTCTTTTTTTTTTTCTAAGCAGAAAAACGCTTGCTGGAATCATCCAAAACCTCACCTCCTAGAAAGTGCTTGCCTTTTGAGGTACTGGGAATGGTCCATTTACTACCACAGCTGCAATCCTAGCCTTCCAACTGCTTAGGTAAACAGTCAAGAGCTTGAAAAAGCACTGATAGACCTAGCACCAGAACTCACTTTCCTTTGGCATGTGGAAAGCCAGGCAGGTGGGACACAGTTCTCTAGGGGCCTCATCACTGCAACCCTCCACCACAGCCTTACCGGTGGCATGGCTGGCCACTAATAACGGTGTCAGCCCAATTTCAGGTTTGGCAAAGGAAACTGGCCTGAGACTTCTAAAAACACACTGGTAAGAAAGGAACAAAGGCTGTATTTCAGAATCAGGCTGTTCTGCCTTTGGGCATTGCAACTGAACTCCTCCACACATTTAAGCTGAAATTCATATTCCCCAAGTTCCTCAGAAAGGCCATTCAAAGTAAAGGGAAAAGAACAGGAAAGACGATTTTTTGTTAGCTTCTTTCCCCACCGTCAAAAGATGAGGATCATATCCAGAACATGACTGACAGCATGTACCAAAAGGCAATAAAGTGGAGTGGAAAGCATCAGTTTCAAGCCAGATTAGCAAGAATGGAAATTAAAGCATCAGAGAATCCTGATAAAAGCAAACACACAAACATATACACCAAAAACCACTGCAATGTTTCCATCATTTCAATCTCCAGAATGTAAGCACTAGTGGTTCCCTAATCCACCTGAACTTCTCAGCAGCTGTCACCAAGCCTGATGGATCTTTTCAAATGAATTCCTATTGTTAACCTCCTTGGATTCTGAGTATTTTTGTCAAAAACAAAAATCCCAGTGGAAGATTTCAAATAACCATGAACTTGAACCAAACCATGGACCTAAACTGAGAGAAACAACAATAATTTTCTAAACCCCAAACAAAACAGAATTGTTAATAGTTTGAAAGCAACAACTAGTGAATCAATTTGAACTGGACCAAAGCTTCATGTTTTCTGAATCAATCAAACTTGTACCAAACCCTGAGAGTCCAATCAGTTCAAAGAACACACATCAAGACTTGGTTTCACCTGACTGACAGCCCACAATGAACCACAGAATGGCAATAAGTAAGGAGTTGGGAAAACTGAATTCTCCTATTTTTTTTACTGTTTGACCTTGGTCAAGTCATTTATATTCTTTTAGACTCGGCTTGCTTACTTTGAAATGACTGGGCTGGGATTACCAATATTCCAGGTCTAATACTCTATGCCAATTGTGAAATTTAGAATAATGACAAAATAGAGGATGTCACAATTTGGCCCTAATCTTCAGAAGCAGAGAGATGTACCACCCCAATTCTCCTAAGGGTTCATGTTTCTAGCTTTTTTGAAATATGCTTCACATAAGAGTTGGGCAACTGTCTTTGGTCATTGGGCAAATGTGCCTTGGGAATAGTCAGGCTAATATTCCTTTTCAGAATGTTTCTCTTCAAAAAATGTTTCAGGAGCAGTTTGTTTTCCCCAAATGAAAGCTACAGGTGAGTGGTCTGGTCCCAAAAAGGAAGAAGGAAGAAAGTGATCTAAATTATGCTGAGCACCTATTGCATGCCAAACATAGCATGATACTTTATATTATTTTTTAAATTAGTCTTCACAACACAGCTATAGGGTAGGTATTATCATCCTAATTTTATAGGCAAGGAAACTGAGGCTTACTGATGTTAAGTGACATGCTTGCAGTCACCCTACTGGTAAGTGATAGATCTGGGATGTGAACTCAAGCAATTTGAATCCATTACTATACCAACATTCTAATGATTAAAGTCTGAATGACTGAATTCCTTCTTAATTCAGTGATTCAATTGCACTTGCTTAGTGAATAATCATCTGCTGAGTTAATACAGTGAAAGTAAATCTCCTTGCATTTATGCTAGATAGACGACTTTCTAAAAAATTTCATCCAACAATGTGGTTAAGACCACTGGGCTCTGGAGTCAGACAGACCTGAGTTTCTTGAATTCTGGCTTATGGACAAGGTACTTAACCATGCTGAGTCTCAAGTTTTCTTACCTGGCAAATGGAGAAAGAAGTAGTACTTACTCATTGGGTTGTTGGAAAGTGTTAATGATGTGATAGCAACTAGCACAGTGCTTGGCACAAAATAATTATTCAATAAATGCATGTTAGAGCTATACTTGTATTCATAAGCAGCAGAGCAAGAAAGAAAAGGTTATAAAGAGAAAGGAAACTAGGATTCATTTAATTCAAGTGCTCTTTGGCCTGTAGCACAGATTTGGTTTGAAAGAGGTTTTCAGTGGCCCATCCATACCCTCTAAAACTAAGCTGCATCTTGCAGTAGATTAGCATATTCATGAAGCAACATGATTATACTAATTGGTGGTGCCTAAGTAGTAGCAAGGAGACTTGTCATGTGCTCTGCTGAGCAGCAATTGTCCCTAGCTTCCTGGAATCTATCCTTCTAAAGAGAGGGTTGGAAAGTGGCAGATAGAAGTACTGCTGGAAGTACCAGGTGGTCTAAGGCCCCCATCTTTCCCCCATTCTTCAAGTTCCAGCTTCTATTTCATTCACTCATGGCCCTCTTCGCATATGCTTCTCTCCTCCCTCAGTTTATTCTAGTTTTATTGTGATTCTCCCCCGGCTCTAGCTCTGTCTCTGCTCATCAGCATCAAATGGTATTTATGGAATGTGTGTCTGGCACTGCACTAGGTGAAGTGGAGGGACATCCAAAAGTTAATCAAAGAGACGTGTCCCATGACCAAACAGATCTAAGATCCACAGGTAGACCAGAGTTTTGGCAACACAGTAAATGCAAGTATAATTGGATTATTTGGTTGATTTCAGAGCACAAAATAGTTTGTTCATCTAGTTAATGATACACATACTGAAGAATTTAGAAAGAATTATACAGTTGTCGGCAACTTGATTTGAAATGCAGAAAAAGATGGATAGATGGATGGATAGGTGATAAAGCAAATAAAGTGTTAACTATAGACTCTAAATGATGGGTATATGGGTGTTCACTGTACAATTCTTTCAACTTTTCTGTATATTTAATTTTTTTCATCATAAAAGGTCGAGGGAA